GGAATGCCATCAAGTTCAGTAAGAACAAGTTCAAAATCTTTAATTCAAAGTCTTTAATCTGAGATGGAACAAGTTTATGCAACTATTCAAGGCAGAGGTTAACTGCCTAGATCCATAGAAAAAGGCCTGTGGTTCTGGCGACCAACAGGCAGCCCATGAGGCAGCAACTTGCCCTTGCAGGACAGAAAGCCAGTGGCATGCTGGGCTGTGTTATCAAGAGCACAGCCAGCAGATCTGGGGAAGTGGTCCTTCCCTCTGTGTGTCACTTGTGAGTGCTCGCGCCAAGTGCTGTAGTTTTGAACTCCCCAGTGCAGGAAAAACTGACATCCTGGAATGAGTCCAGCAGAGGCCTCCCAAGACGGTCAGGGAGCTGAATGCACAGGGTGTATGAAGAGAGGCTGAGAGAATTGACCTGTTCAGTCTTAAGAAGAGAAGATAAAGCTATCTGATAAGACTATATGAAGAAGATTGAGTCAGACTTTTCCCGGAAGTGCAGAGTCCTGAGACAAGAGGCAAAGGAAAAAAGTAAAAACCAGCAAATTCTGATGACACATTAGTAGCAAGAGTTTTTACCATGAGGGTGGTCAATATGAGAACAGTTTGCCCACAGGACTTACGTGATTTCTATCCTTGGAGATATTTTAGGTTTGAGTGGTCACAGCCCTGTACATCCTGATCTAATCAAACTTGTTTAGAACAGAAAGTTGGATTAGACAATGCCTGGACATCCTATCCAACTGATCAATAACATTCTGTAGGTATCTAATATTGTGTTTTGTTTGTTGTGTTACTGATCCTGAAATGCCTTGTTCATTGATTGCCAATTAATTAAACATTGTGAAAAAAACCACAAACAATAAATTGCTTTGGTTCTGATTTGATTTAAACCATGTCCATTGAGTAGTTTTTACCAGAGGCAGCTGAACACTGCACGACAAAATATGCCTAAACCTTTTTGTTTTGGTTTTGGTTTTGTTTTCTTTGGCTTTCTTCCAAAAGGTAATATTCAGCATAGGGCCACAAAGATGATTAAGGGAGTGGAGTATCTCCCTTATGAGGAAAGGCTGAGGGAGCTGGGTCTCTTTAGCTTGGAGGAGACTGAGGAGGAACCTCATTAATGCTTATAAATATGCAAAGGGTGATGGGCATGAGGATGGAGCCAGGCTCTTCTCAGTGGCATCCAATGATAGGACAAGGGGAAATGGATATAAGCTGGAACATAGGAGGTTCCACTTAAACATGAGGAAGAACTTCTTCCCAGTAAGGGTAACAGAACACTGGAACAGGCTGCCCAGAGAGGTTGTGGAGTCTTCTTCTCTGGAGATGTTCAAAACCTGCCTGGACGCGTTCTTGTGTGATCTGATCTAGATGGTCCTGCTCAGGCAGGGGGATTAGACTAGATGATTCTTTGAGGTTGCTTCCAATCCCTAACATTCTGTGATTCTGTGATTCTGTGATTGCTTCTGGAATGATGCACAAGGGCCATTCTTTAATCTTGGTCAAACAATACTGATTCTGGTTCACAGTATTCAAAGACCTTGTTTCATGATGTTGGGAAGCGGTGACTTTTAGACACTTCTCTATTCTACAGAGCTAATGGGAACTTTCTGAAGTCCTTTAGAGACAGTCCAGAGGTTTACTATACAGGAAAGCAAAATGGCAGTGGAAACTAGTAAATCTATTCGAATGCATGTGCAACAACATAAATAATACAGATATGTTTTTAAGAAATATACAATAGAAAATTAACTAAAATTGAAAGGAAATGAGTAAATAAATTCTCAGTTATTTTTCGTTCTAGTGAGGAACAAAACTGTTCAAAATTGTTATTACCTTTCTAGAGGAAAATATTTATTATCTACTTGGTATATTGCTTTAAGAACAACAAATCTGTGGACTTGCAAAAGTCGAAATAGGAGCACAGTAATTTTTCAGTACCACATACAGTTACACAAATCAATTACAGATATAACCAAATTCTTTACAGCATTCTACAATAAAATAGTAAAATGAATTCCATCACTTCTGGTGAAAAATCTGACATTCGTTTGAGAACAAGATACTTCAGTGGAGTTTATGTTAAAAAAAAAAAAAAGAAAGCCAGAGAAGGCAGAAAAAGTTTCATCTTTTACACTTGGCTACTCTACAAAATAATATCTCAGATGTTTTTCATGGTGTTTGTTGTTCAAAAGTTGTCTTCCAGTTCTGTTAGAGAAAAAGTACCGTTATTAACATTAATGAAATTGGGATTCCTTATAATTGTTGGCAGGATATTAAAGATAGGAAAAAATTCTTTAATAATGAAATTTACTCTATGTGTTTATTGTAATATTACATAATTTCTTTTTGCCCTTGTAGTTGCAATGAACTATTATTCCAAGAACTGAGAGAGGTAGTATATCCTTGATGATAGTATGACTATAAATTGTGCTGACATAACGCTAAATTATTTTTGTGTTTATCATACATTTTCCCAGTTAAGTATACACATTTCTTACACACATTGTATTCATTAAAGCAAGTAAACTAACCACCATGTCCCCAGGACACTTCTCCTGGAAGGCTGATATTCATGTTTTAACAAACAGCATGTAGAAATACGGTAAATATTCATATATCTTAGTAAGACAGTCAAAACGCATTATCTGCATTTTGGCAGTGGTATATGACATAAAATTTTAATAAACAATTTTCTAAACTCTGAAACCTTATACTAGTTTTCCTCAAGGTTCTACGACATGTACGAGCTGCTGATTTAAGATATAAAGCTGAAATCAGAGAAGCTGAGGGAGGGATATGCAGTTAGTACTTTCAATGTTCTTGGGATTAATTTGCACCTTCCACCCCCAAAAAGATAAATAGAAATGTCCTACTGTAAAATCTAATTGAACATGCTGCTTTTTGCAGCTGCCCACACTGCTCCTGATCTGTTCACCTGTGCCATCAACCCTGCAGTGATGCAAATCACCTAATTAGAGATGTGGGAACCTGAAGCATCATTGAAAGGGAAAAAAAAAAGAAAAAAAAAAGAAAAAAAAGAAAAAAAAAGAAAAACTTCTGTGGCTATTTAAGGCCGGTATTCAATATCTTGCTCTGATTATCAGCCAAGTCAAAGGGTATTTTCAGTAGAGAAAGCTAAATGCCGGATGTGAAAAGTCACATGAATGCTAACGTAGTAGTTCCTATATTTACTGTCTGCTTGTGAGCATAAAATTTATTTACAACTTATTGTTTCAAAGGAACTGATCTGTGGACAGTGACTTGGTCTATACTTATATAGGGTTTTGTATGCGTTTTTCAATTTTCTCAAAAATGTGAGAATAGTTAATAAATAGTTCGGTCATTAATCCCTAAGTCAATAGGAGATGAAGCATTAGGCTAGTGTCCAATAATGCATTCAGGTGCTGTTCAACATTGCTATTATGTAGTCCATTCCCAACTGATTCAGGTTCATAACAGTGTTCTTAACTCTATCAATAACAGCATATGTACTTAAAGACAAAATCACCTGGTGACAGATAATTGTTGATGTTCCTAAGGAAATTAACATATCTAAGAGTAGTTTTTAGGCACAAGTTGTATTCTCCAAACATAGAAAAGTTATGTCACTGTGTTTAAATAAAAAAAATAAATGAATTAAGAGTGTGTATCATGTAAAGAGGATATTTGCACAAGTAAGTTAGCATTAACTTAAGGTGAAAACTTGAAATCATCCTAGTGGACGATTCTCACAAAAAATTGATTGAGCAACACAGTAAGTGTGCAACAAAGAGACATTTGTGTGTCTGTCTGATTGTCAGGCAGATCATATACAATTATCAGAGCATAATACTAGAAAATGATATTCTAAAAAGTGACCAAGGATTTAGAATGGTGATTTATTCTATCCAACTTCATAAAATTTTGAGAAAACACAAACTTGAAAACATTATGGCAGTGCCTGAAAAATAGATCCTTTGAGAGAGATCAAAACTAGGCAAAAAAAAAAAAAAGCTTGTAGCAAGCCAATTGATGTTTAAATGTGGGATATTGCCACCATTAATAAACAACATATTTCACCTCCAAAGTAGAAAATATCTCCTGAATAAATCTGCAGAGGTATAGAGGCATGAGCAGACGAGGTCATGTCATTGTCCACTGTTACACTGATACGATTCCTTTTGGCAAAGAAGGATACAGAATGCCACTGGCCATTATTTAATCCAGCACCTGGAAAGAAAATAAAAAGCAAAATGAAGTATAAACAGCCATTATTTGTTATACTGCCTGAATGCTACAGGCTTAAAAGGAGAGACCGGTAGAGCAATCTTGTCCATGTAAAAACTCGAAGTGATAGTGAAAGGAAAAAAAAGTTAATAAAGAATAAAAATGTCTTTTGTGAAGACAGAACCTTTGTCTATTCCTTTGCTTCACATCTGATAAAGAAAAAATAAGAGTCCTTCAGTGACTAAGCCTTACTGTTGTAATATTCCTAATTATCAGCCATACATACGTTTAACGTAGTGACTATCTAAAGTATCCTCTCAATCTGAGGAGGTTATCATTACGATATCATTCTGATGGCTAATACAGCATTTTGTACATAATACAAATTTTTACTGCACTGTTACAAAGGATTTCTTAATCTTTTAAAATCACAGGTAATCATTCTATTGCAACCTAGTAAAATAGCAAAATCCTGCAGATGCTGAAAGCTTCAGCAACCATCATGTCAATGTTACAAGATTATTTTTCTTTCAGTTCTCTCTTTTATTGGAAAAATGTGGGAAAATTTTGTGAAAGCTTAGCCTCTAACACCAATTTACATTACTTCTGGCTGTGTAGGTGTAAGTTGCCACAGAGCAATAAAGACCTGATTGTGGAAAGCACTTCCATATATATATATGTACTTAAATAAATTTTATATAGGGCAATATGTAAGCACATCATTGTCTTTAAGAAATGTTTTAAGTCATTCATGTTCTTGAGTGTTCAGAACAGAGAAACTGGTTTTGGTGAAGAACAAGCAATACAACCTTTGAATTATCTAGTCTTTTCTGGACAGCAGAGTGCCTATGATTTGTGATCTGTAATTTCCCTCTCAAAATTTCATGTATTTATATACTCCTCCCTACAATGTGTTGTATATTCTAGAGAAATGATCTACCAGTTAACCGAATTTCATTCAAACAGAATGAAAAGAAATGAAAACAGAAAGATGGGAAAGTTCAAATAGCTAAATTACATCGTAACTTGGATCCATATACTGTTAACTACCACAATCAAAGCACGAGATCAGCATACAATCAAGAGATAAATCTTAGAATCACATTATAAATTCAAATAAATTATCATCTACAAAATATCTCTACTATATTGAACGTAAATTAGTCCTATACACCTTTTCTATTATATATTTCCTTACTTCAACCACTATATTTATTGGGGAACACATAACAAGTAAACTTATCATTCAGTAATACTACCATTTTGCTTGATCCCCAGCCTTGGTGGAATTATACAAAAGCTATGGCTAACAGGTCTTCTTACGTCTATGTTGCACTTTCAGGAACAATTCAACTTTCTAATGTAATGGCAGAAAGCACAGGGCCATGGTCACAAGTTTTCTGATACCATTCTAGCCATTATTTACTTTGATTGCAATCTTCTGCGAGAAGTGGCATTTGAGTTTACCAATAGGAGCAGTACACTTACAGTCAGAGTAGATAATCAGTGTTAAAGCTATCACTAATTTGCTGAGTAAACTTGTGTAGAACTCCATATCATTGTATTTATAGAGATGGATTTTTTACTAAAATAAAAATTGGAAACCTTACTCCACACAATATAAAGTATTATTAACGCTATTGTATCTGGCTATCAAAAAGTCACCTGTAGTGGGGTAATCTTTTAGTAACTAGGATTTACATAGCCCTACAGGCAAATGTGGAGGGTGTGACTAGAGTTTCTCTATATTATCAAGATGTTCAACTGATGAAGAAGTTTCTTAGTACTGCTAGGAGTTAATACGACTTAACAGCAACCTTCAGCCTGGTGTATTTTATGTTAGGACTGGCATACTATTGAGCTGAAGATCAAGAAAATGCCTTAAAGCCTAGTCATTTTGGCTCTAGCCATATTTTGGCTAGACAATATGATGTGTAACGGACATTTGAAAAACAGAGTAGATAGAGCATCAGGAAAATATTATTTCTGCCTTACAATATCATGGGCATATATGTCACCTACATAATGAAGTTCCTAGGCTTAATGAGTACTATAATTTATCTCTCCTTTGGTTTTAGTACTATTTTATAGCAAGAACTCATCAAATATATCAAAACTTCAAACAAAAATAAACAATGAGTCACAACCAGCTAAAGTATCCTTAGGTCTTTTATGTCACTATGAAACTTAGTGAACTATATTCTGTCATCAAAGAGGTAATAGGTATGCTAAAACAAAGAATATGAATAACACAGTTTTTAAAGCACAGAAAATTAAATCTGAGAAAGTTTTTTCCCAATTCCCAGTAATATAATTGGTTTTCTTCTATAAGTTATTGTAGAATTATCCTTCAATAAGAAGCTAAATTGTAAAATAAATGTCATCTATAACGCCACTTGCCGCATTCTGTTTTTAAGATTAGCTATTTCAGACAATAATCTTTTAAAAAGGAATTATTTCCCTACTTAACTTATTTTCCTCTTTCTAGCCTCCATCCCCATCTACCAAAAGCTCCAGTTTCTTTCATCTCATCTCTAAGATTAAGCAAGGAGTTTCTTTATTTGTAGAGGTGCTTGAAGTGAATGATGTTTTCCTCAATAACATCTCAGTAAAATGTTATCTTCTTTAGTAATCACAGAATAATTTGGGCTGGAAGGGACATTTAAAAATCGTCTAGTCCAATCTCCCTACCAAGTACAGGGACTTCTTTTACTATATCAGGTTGCTCAAAGCTCCATACAGCCTGACCTCAAACATTTCCAGGGGTGGGACATCTAAATCTCACCTCTTTCAGTTTAAAACTGCTATCCCTTGCCCTGTCACTACAGGCCCTGGGAAGAAATCTCTGTTCATCTTTCTTATGAGCCCCCTTTTAAGTATTGAAAGGCCACAATAAGGTCTGCCTCGAACCTTTTTTTTTCTCCAGGCTGAATAACTGCAACTCTCAGTCTTTCTTCACAGTAGACATGATCCTCTGACCATTTTAATGGCCCTCATCTGGATGCATTCTAACAATTCCATGTCTGTCTTGTATTGGGAACCTCAGAGCTGGATGCAGTCCAGATGGGGTCTTGCAAGAGCAGAGTAGAGGGGCAGAGTCATCTCCCTCCACCTGCTGGCCATGCTTCTTTTTGTGCGGCCCAGGATGCAATTGGCTTTCTGGGCTGCAAGTGCACAATGCCAGCTCATATCTAATTTTTGATCCAACAGTATTTCCAAGTCCTTCTCCATAGAGCTGCTCTCAACTCATTCATCCGTCATTCTGTATTGATGTTGAGGATTTCCCCAACGCAGGTGCAGGACCTTAAGCTTGGCCTTATTGAACTTCATGAGCTTTACACGGGCTCACTCCTCAGGCCTGCAATATTCCTCTGGATGACATCTCTTCCCTCCAGTGAATTAACTGCACCATTCAGCTTGGTGTAATCAGCAACCTTGCCAAGGTTGTACTCAATCCCACTATGTGTCATTACTGAAGATTTAAATCTAACAATAAATTCTGTAATTTCATTTCAATTGTTGCATGGATAATTGTTTTTAGTTCTTAGTTTTGCATCCTGCTTCAGTAACTTCTTGTTCTGTGAGAAAACAAGATTCCAAATATTGTAGTATTTAGTTGTCAAGGTAGGTAAGAGAATACCCTAACAAAAAGGAGACTGAATGAATGACTGAAGTAGAAAAATATTTTTGTTACTGGAAAATTGTTTATATTAATTTAACACTTTTTGGCTTGTTTACTGTGTGTCATCACACTGACATACTAAATGATTTTGGGATAGATGTTTTGCTTCCTCTTCATACAGGCTGGCATGATTAGAGATGCTAAACAATGTTCATCTAGCTCAAATTAAGACTTCCTAAAAGACTTCCTGTTTCATTAAGTCTAGGGACTGAGAAATGCCATTGTGGGAGCACAAAACAGCCCCAAGAAAACAGGTCATTGTAGCCCTTGAACTGACATCTTTGATTAAATTCACATTAGTTTGTGTGAAGCCACAGATTGGTATGACAAATAAATAATGGTGGAGGTCAACAGACTGCTAACATTTTGATTCTGTCTGAAGGTTATATTGTCTGGTGCTCTACTAGGAGTTTTAAAAATGCTTTACCAAAATACAAGTGAAGAAGAAATAACAAACTTTTAGTCATAATAAGGTAGCTATTAAACAAGGTATCCACTTATTCTCGTTAGTAATACCTCCATTATTTTAATATCTGCATACTAAAAAAGAAGGTCTGTGGGAGGTCTTGCAGAACAATATCATCCAAGCTTAGGAACACATATATAAAAAGACAAAGTATACAGCTTATTAGGAGATCAGTGAGAAACAAAAAAAACCCACCTAGTTTAGAGAAAGTAATTTATAAATTAGTCTGGAGTATAATCACTAAATGTGATGATAACATCACTTAATTAAAAGCTATATAGAAATTAAAAGCTGCATAGAAAGACAGGATCATATGAAGAAACTGAGTAATAAGATCTCAAACAGTTATACCTGTTGTAATTCAATTTAGTCTCATTATTCAACACAAATTATCTTTGCTAATTTCTTTTTTTAATGTATGTTATTTCTTTGTGAATATTTGATGACCAGATTGCACAAGAGGCTATAAAGCAAAGAGATTAAGCAACCATTCAATAAAAGAAGGATACTGTTTATTACAACTTAATCACTAATGAATTAACATGCCATTCTCCTCATTTTTATGTGGTTGAAGAAATTTTCGAAAAACACGTGATAATGAATTTGAGAACTGTGCACAGACAAATATGCTCTGATTGAATTATCAAATATCGTGTGCGTGTGTGTGTGTGAAATCCAGGTCAGAAGTCATTGCCTGTAGGGGAACAAACCTGTCCAACCATCCATAATTTAATTACTCAGTCTCCAAATGCAGACTTGAATTACTTCAGTGAGTGTAACAATATAGCCTTCAGAAACTCAAGAAAAAGTTCCCCATATGGTTTTGTTAGATAACTTCTTTCTCAGAAGAAAGTAGGATGCTTTTTGCAGTAGTTTTTTGTCTTCACAAGGACAAACACAATTCCTCCTATTAGACTTTATGAAAACTAAGCTGGCAACAGTTTCTTTAACATACATCACCTAATTGAACTGCAATTGAAATAGTTCCTAAAAAGCCAAATATATCACTGTTAACTACATACCACTGACATGCTTACTAAGGAGTTGACGTTTTCAAACGATGAGCCTAGGGAAACCTCTTGTCATTAAAACAGTAGTCTTTGTACATCAATTATTTTAGGTTATAGCAAATATGAGGGATGGTCCTATCAGTCACAGAAACAGGATCAAGGTATTTATGTAAATTTCAACATTATCCATGGTCATTACAGAGTTACAGTGTTCCTGAATTAAAATAATCAACTGTTTGAAACTTTACTTTCAATCTTTATATATATATAATATATAATGAGCTTCAGAGTTGTGTTAAACTTTCTCTTTTTTCTTTTTTTTTTCCCTCCTCAAAGGAATTTTTATTTTGCATGAGGAATTAGAGTAAAAATCAATGTAAAAGAAACAGGAGCACAGAACTAAGACTAAGGAGGCCTCATCTTCAAATTCAGTGGCTGTTTCTTTACTCTGTTTGGCTCTGCTTTGCTTTGTTTGTCTTTCTGACACTGCCAAGTACATGGTTTATGAGCATTTCAGAATTTGCACCAATTATAAAGCCTTTTTTTTAGTTCTGTGGGGTCCAAAAGAGATTTGGAGGCTTTAATTTTCATGATAATTACTTTATTATTTATTATTTATTTTTATTTCAGTAATTACTTAGCTTACTTGCTATATTTTTTTTTGCTCAAGACAAACTAGCACAGAGCAGCATTATTAATCTCCCTATATTCTGTCTCGAAAACTCCCTGAAAGATGCCTTTGATTTGGTTCCTATCACTCCAATGAATATACTCTATACACGAATAAATTCTTCTACGCATTCAGATCCTGAACTTGTTTTCTAAGTACCAACGCAAAAGGCAGTTTTCGTACTTGTTATTTACTTATTAATTCAGTTTGCATATTACATTACTGAAACTAACTTGGCTTCTTTTTCACTTATAATATTTCTGTTTTATGGATATGAAATATGAAATATATGATTATGTACAGTTCAAAATAAACTTAGGATCAACTGATGTTTTGGATATCATTGTGTTTTCTACAGCCAAATTACCCATTACTTCTCTGATATAATCCTCCATCTAGTAATCTCTGATCATATTCTTTGTCTGTACAGAAACCACTCTGATCCCAGCCTCATTTCCTCATCTTCATATATTCTTTGAAATTCCATTTGTTGGCCTAATATCTCTAGTTCTCTTTTTCCTGTCAGAGAACTCATTCTGGAATGACCATTTTATCCTTCTACAAGAAAAAGGCAAAGTTCAATTTGTTTACAGAAAGGATGAGAAACTCTGAGGTGGTTGTGATGCATGGAGTGTCAGAGTATACTCTCTCTATATACATATAGTATATATAGTATACTACTGATGGAGCACAGCTAGGTGAACGATAATATCACATGGTGATGTTTCTGCTTCTCACCATTTAATTAAAAGTCATGGAAGATGGAGGTCATAGAATCATAGAATCATGGAATAGTTAGGACCCATAAAAGATCATCTATTCCCAGCCCCCCTGCCATAGGCAGGAACCCCCTCCACTACACCAGGTTGCTCAAAGCCTCATCCAAACCGGCCTTGAAAATTTCCAGGGATGGGGCATCCACAACTTCTCTGGGAAACCTGTTCCACTGCCTCTACACCCTCTGAGTGAAAAATTTCTTCCTCATATCTAATCTAAATCTACCCTCTTTCAGTTTAAAGCCATTGCCCCTTGTCCTATCACTACATGCCCTTGTAAAAAGTCCCTCTCCAGCTTTCTTGTAGGCCCCTTTTAAGTACTGGAAGGCTGCTGTAAGATCACCCCCGGAGCCTTCTCTTCTCCAGGCTGAACAGCCCCAACTCTCTCAACCTGTCTTCATAGCAGAGGTGCTCCAGCCCTCGGATCATCTTCATGGCCCTCCTCTGGGCTCGCTCCAGCAGCAGTGTTGTTGACTTTGCCCTGCTCTCACATTTCATGAAAGAAGGAGATTCCTGACTGGGTCAGCAGTGTTGCTGTTCTCACATCAAGCGCTAGTGGCTCTCAGAAAAACTGAGGAGCTTCTTCATGAAACAGGGAGTCCAGCGGCTCCCAGACCAAATGAAAGTGAAAGATGATATCTGCTTTTCAGAATCCCAGTTGGATACTCTCTAATATGACTGTAACTTACTGTATTTATCTCATCTTCTTGACCTTATATGGCTTGGAAGACTAAAGGGCACGCTTTCCTGAAATCTTAGCTCCACCCTGAGTGCTGCCTAGCAATGCACATTACCAAAAGTAGGTGATATACTCGCAACTCAGTGATTAACTACAAAAGCGATGCTTTACTTCTCAATTACTCAGTCTCTTCAATTTCTCCATTTCTTTTTGTCCTTGCTATAAACGTTGTTGTGGTTTGTTGTTTGTGGTTTTTTTTTTTTTAATGAAGACTCAAATTTGCCTCAGCTTTCTGGAACACAACCTGGTTTTGGGCATACTCTGTCCAAATTTAATGGAGAGCTCTGTAATTTATTAGAGCTCTCTATTTCCTCTAGGAAATAACAAACATAATATTTATAATAATTTATAATTTTATAGAAAAATTATTTACTTGATGCTTTGTGAAGACACTGACAATAGATGAAAAACATGTTAATGGCTTAGTTTGACAGAGTAAGAAATTAACTTGTTTACACTCCGCAACTGAAAAAGTTGCTTAGTTGCTTCAAATTTCCTAAATTATACTCATGAGTTTTACATACTGTATGTATGCAAAGCTAAGGACTCAACTTTGTAGCCTATATTATTGTTTATATTGTTATAACTAGAGCAACCTGTCCTAGTGGAAGGTATTTCTGCCCATGGCAGGGGAGTTGGAACTAGATGATCTTTAAGGCCCTTCCAACCCAAACCATTCTGTGTTTCTATGAAATAATTTCTACCTAATTATGGGGAAAAAAGCACATATACATGTTTCTGGAAAAAAAGGAAATATTTAGGAACATTTTGGATTAAAATTCACACAAGTACAGTTACACATACACTAGTCATGAAACCAAGTAAAGAATATAGGTACTAATTTAAATGACTAACATATTTTTTGATTAATAGAAATCTTGGACATTTTCTTCATTTCTGTTACCTGCAGCGATGTCACTCAATGTTTTTCCTGGTTTATGAAGATTGATTTTAACTTTCCCATTTCTCAGATATAAGAAGAAACCACCTGAATCCTGATGTAGTTTACTAGATAATAGAAGTCCCTCCTTGTTCCAGGTGCGAAACTGGAAACTGATGAATATTTCGTCTTGCCCAGATGTGCCTGGCAGTGCCAGGTAGCTGCTGGAGCTCAGAAACGTAACAGGAACCACTTGCGGCTCTGAACATGAGAAGGATATGTTGCCCTAGAAAAAAATGAAACAAATATGGCGTTAGGAACGTATGAGCAAAAACAGTCATGAGAACTTTTGTATGGAAAGTACAGTTTCAAAACATTGTGCATAGAACCTAATATTTGTAATATTTTAATGTGTTAGTCTAAAAATCAGGTACAAATACATAAAAATATCATCAGCTTGAGAAATCTTTACTTAGTTGTTTAAGTAGAACAGACATACCTGCCTGAGCAAAGAGTGGCAAGAACCTTCGAGTGAATGAGGCAAGATCTTGAATTACATGGATGATTTAATGGTACTTGAGGAGTTAGACAGACCTGCTTTGTTTCTATTTTGGCTCAGCCTCAGGAAGCATTAGTGTCTTGACAAATTTCTGAATGTCGGATAAAATGCCACTGAATACAAAGTTTGGTACAAATATTTACACAGGTCTAAATGCTTGTATGCAGAGAAAAGTGTTGAGCTTGGTTACTGATTGTTTAAGGCAATGTTAAATACGGGGAAAAAAAAAATTCGCCAGACCAAGGAGCAATCTTTCCAAATCAATGCAACTGGAGATGTGCACTGACCTCAATATTTGTTTTCACAAAGAGTCAGAGAAAATTTCACATATAAACTCTTGCTACTTACAAATGTGAAACTTACTTAATAAATTAGAAGGAAACATGAAATCAAGAAGGCCCATACGGACCATATAATGAGCTGTATTTAAGCACCTAGCCTTTATTTTGTGCTTGACTGCTTCTGAAATCACTGGTTCTTAAGTGTCTAAATAAACCTGTGAATGAGTTCATTGACAAATTGTGAGCTTAACCTGCATCTGTGCTTGCACTGAGTGATATAGATAAAATGGCTGGAATGGGAATAACGTATTTGGTGCCAGAGCTAGTTAATACTTTATGACTCTTGATAGTGATACAATATGCACTTTGATCTAATGACTTCCTGGCACCATTTGAACTATAACTAATTTGTTCTGTACAGATGATTACTAAAAGATTAATGTCTTTAGAATTCAAAGTACGTTTAACTTCTCTTCAACACAAAGAGATTTTCAACATTTGAACACACATAAAACTATGACCTTATAGTAAAAAGCTAAAAAATCAATTTAAGAAAAATACTCACTAGCCCCTGGCATGGCAAGACATTAAAGTTTATCTGTTTTAATTTTCTTCAAGGAAAATATATGAATAAATAAAAGCTCTGTCTTATGAACTCAGCTGTAGAGAAACGAATATTCAACTGAACTGACCCATAGTGAAAAAGCAGTCCTCAAATTAATAAACCTTGTTAAATGTTAAAACTTTACTATCTGCAGATTCCCCCTCCATGTTGTTTGGACAGCTGCCTGATAACTGTATCAGACCAGCAAAGTGGCTATTTAACAAGGATTCTATGGTAACACAGATACTTTCTGGCACATTTACATTATAAAACATCTCCTAAATAGTTTTGAAAGTAGTACAACAGCTTAGATCATTTGAGATGAAGATGATGAAATTTCCTATGACAATAATTTCATAGTTCCCCTTTCACTAGTCCACACAGAGCCTCCTATAACTGCCCTCTCCCCAACACCCATCAGCAATATGGACAGGATATTATACAGAAGTATCAGTTAAGTCTGGAATATTTCAGGCGAGCTTCATGTGAGAAGAGATGTCTGTCATCCATTTAATCTGGAGCAGAGGACCAAATTTGATTGTTCGTATTCTGAATTTAAATCTAAATCAAAAGATTTAGAGCTTGAAAGAATTTCCTATTTTGTTAATTACTTTGAACTGATTGTTTCCATCATATCTCTGCATTTCCTACTGCTAAATAAATAAATTCTGTGAATAGAAATAGCTCTTGTACTACTGGAAAAATACCAAAGGATTCAGTAGAACTTACAGAAAACTTCTTGTAACACAGAAGAAAGTTGGTTTATTATTGAAATCTTTTCTCCAAATGGTAGAGAATTATCTAATACAATCATTGGACAAGTTGCAACAATTGTATTAAACTCATCAACCTAAACTACAGCTCTTCAGACAAAGGATAGTATAATTTAAGAAACAGAATTGATCTATCAAAATTATAATACTCTTGAGAAGACAGAGCAGATCAGTGTCCTCAGCAACAGAATTTAAAAATAGCCTGCTGATGCTCTTACTGATGAGGTACAGAAGACAAAGTCAGAACTTCAATGACTTCAGATACATCTTATTTTACACACTGGCTTTTGTATGTGCACAACAGTGAGATCTCACACACATCTAAATATCAGCTAAAGAGCTGAAGAATAAAATGCATCCTGCATTGTCTACTGGATGAGCCTGTACAGCAGCAAATATAAAATAACTCAATTAGGTGATTCCTTGGTTTTTCTTTTATTAAACAACATAGATTTTACTAGAATTGTGTGTTAACAAATTGCATACGAAAGTGGTTATGGTCTTTTTCTTTTCTCTATTTTACTTATTTATTCTTTCTTAACTATGAATCTCTTACCACAAAGTAGATCTGAGATTTATGTCTCCTGGCCAGGTCAATAATGTTCACTCCATTATAATAAATATTTTCAAAACACCCATGAAAGTTCCTGCGTGACAATGTCCCTGATTTTCCAGGCACTGGGATCCCTCCAAAGCTGAGCTTAGAAAGAGAAGAGAAATCAATGATACTATTAAGTAATTTTCTAAGGAAAGAATTTGCTAATAGCGTAAAAGCAGAAGTCAAAGACTGGCCAACAATGAATCTGCTACTTCTTGGCTATTTGCTTTTATCAGATCTGTATATTAAAAGAACAGGCTAAAAAGAAATTAGACTATATCAAGTCACATATATTCACTAAAATATTCCGTTGGCTTTTCTTTTTTCTTCTGAGAATGCCTCTTAGCAATTGCTTATTATAGAGTGTTATCAGTTTTCAGAGTCCATTACAGCTGAAAAACCAAGGAGAAGAAGGACAAGGCCCCAGTACATGCAGACGGTGCTGGACAGTGTGAAAGGGAGAAGAGAATTCACTAACTTCTTAAGGAAATTTGAGCCTAAATTTTCCACTGTGTGCAAATCACAACTATTGTAACAGAGAATAAGAGTGCATCACATTAAACTATTCTAGGACAAATTCAAAACAAATGAAAAGAGACATTTTTTCCCTCTCAAAATGCTTAGTTAGGCTGTGTAGTTCCTTGATGTGATGCTTAGGTTTACTTGGGTTCAAAAAAAGATTGGAAGATTTAATAAAAATAAAAATCTATTGAGAGTTATTAAACTCAAGAAAATCACTATCTTAATAAGTCCCTGAGGCAGAAAGTGTTAGAAAGCAGTAGACTATTTTAGAAAAGCATCACCACAGGGGTGATCTGAGTTATACTCTGGTCTATGTTTCCACTCTTGGGCACCATCAGAAACAAGATGTCAGCTTAAGTGGACTTTTGAACTCGCTTATTTCAAAGTTATTCTGGTTAACATCGTAGAAAAGATCAGTTTAAACTATTTATCCTTTTAATTTTGAAATTTCACTGAATATTTAAAATTATTTTATGAACAAAAAAAAATTACCTCATGTTTCATTAAGTTATTAAATCCAGAAATTTTTATAGTCAGAAATGCAATTTTAAATACAGTGGTTCATACTTTTTTGGAAGTTTTGGGGCTTTTCTACAGCTTTTGCTTTCCTTTCTACTTTGTATTGGCAACACATACTTCATACTACTGTATGTGGAAGAGAGGAAAAACGAATTTTCAATATTGGTTGATTTAGTAAAATAAATCTTTTTAGCAGTAAGTTAAAACTAGTATTTGTTGCTGTCATTATTTTCTTCTTTTTTTTTTTTTAATTGGTATGATCCTCCAAGCTTTGGCACTGTGGCTTAGATTCAGAAATTTTAAGCAGAATCATGACTTTAATCTTGTGAATGATATTTTTGAAATGGGATAATGCAGACACAGAACAACATGAAATCTTACTCTAAATTGCTTAAAAACTCAAGTAGAATAAAGTAATTTAGATCTGCCAGCTCAAAACAGTCTATCACTCTATTTCATTCATCAAACAGGACAGGGGCAAACATAAAGCAGCTAATCCTCATATTAAAACTGTGAAATAGTGGTATTTTTAACCTTAGGTGGGAAACTGTCACAGCAAATTACATCGACTCCTTTTCATGAATCTACCATTTGTGCAAGCAAGATTTTTTCACAGTACATTTACCAGATTTAACAGGAATTTATGTCTTCATCTAAACATTTCTAAAATTGCTTTATAGTGATTTATTGCAGTTTTCATCAAGCCATAAATAATAACTTTTAGTTGGGGCAAATTCCATATGTTTACATACTGTTTACCACATTTACAGCACTACTGAAACAAAGATATTAAAATAGTTAACTCTGAGATGAAAAAGATGATCTTTTGAAAATTTCAGGTTGCAAGTCTAGTGGAGTATTAGTAATCTAGGAACATCTTTTTTTCTTTGATTCATTCCTTTAGGAGACAGAAAATCCTTAAAGTTTTAAACATTACAAGCTTCCTTAAGTTCTGCCTCCTTTGCTTTTTTCACTGCATTTACATAACAAAGTTAATAAATGTAATAAAGGAAAGGTAATTTTCACACCTCATAACCAAGGTCCAAATAACTGAATTCTCCTTTTGCATGAAAATGATGAGTGTGTTTATCCACTGTAAAGTTTACTTGATTGTTAAAGTGTTCAATGAGAACAGAATGCCAGTGTTGATCATCCAAAAGGCTGCCCAGCATAATATTAATTTGGGCATTAGAAGGATGAATTTTAGTATCACCTTGAAAGAAGAAAAATAAAAACTATTAATTCCATATAAAAATATAATTATTCAAATATATACTGCTAGTTTATCATATACTATACATTAAAATCCACTTAACAAATTAAAAGAAGTTTTAGTCAAATAATACCTAATAACTACATTAGATTTTATGAGACTGCAGCTGTTACCTAAATTAATGAGTAGGGACAGCTTCCCTTTAATTAATTCCAGGGTGATGTGGTCTCCATTTTGTCCTTCTCTGTGGAGGAGAATTCCATCACTTTGCATTGTCTTAAACTTCAGAGAAATCACATCTTTCAATGCACTCGTGAGTTTTTGATTAAATATGTAAATTAGACAACTTTTCCCATCAAAGCCAACCACCTCGGACCCTAGAAGTAAAGAAATGAAAGATAATGCATAATGCTATGTCTAAAAAAAAATCAGTTGCATGTTACTTCAACATGATATGAAGTCCCAGAACTAACAACCCTAGATTCACATGTTCTCAGTAAAATGTAACTTATTTCTGCTATTCCTGTTCTTCCCCAAATGTTAAGACTGTCCTGTTTTGATGATGGTGCTATCACTAGATAATAAAGCAAGGTGAGCAGAAGAGATCTGCTTTCTATTCCAATCCAGTACTAATCTCACATGCTGAAAAATCTTTCTTGCCTTGGAGCCATGAAGTACTTTGACTATTTCTGTTCTTATTGTATTCTTAGGGTGAAAATCTCCATCAATTTATCTACAATTAATTCTAATTAACAAAATAAAGAAGAGGAAAATCACATCCATTAAATTTAACTGCTTTTCAGTGCTTTCATGCAGATCGTAGATTTAAGCCACTATTAAGATCGTTCTGGATATCTGTACAGCAGCTCATGGCATACTAATTTTAGAAAAGACACAAAAATATTCTAAAATGAAAACCTGTCAGCTGTGAGTAGAGCTTAGTTCTCATCATTAAATGTTTTTTTTACTGCCATCATAAATTATGACATAAATTAAGCTGAATTACAGTTCTAGTACTGGAATACAGGACTTCGTATAATCAATTTTTCAGTATGAGCATCACAGAATCACAGAATGTTTGAGGTTGCCATGTACATCTGGAGAGCATCTAGTACAAATTCCCCACTCAAAGCAGCATCAGCTGCAGCAGGTTTCTTAGGTTTGTGTTCAGTCAAGTTTTGACTTCCAAGGACAGATATTATACCTCTCTGGACAACCGATGCAATAAAAAACTGTATTTCATTTTGTGCCCATTGTCTCTTGTCCTGTCACTGGACATCACTGAAAGGATCCTAAAGTGTAGAATCCTTTAATATCCTACACTTTAGAAGACCCTACACTTCTATACACCCTCCTATCACCCATTTATACACATGGGTAAAATTGCTCTCAAGCCTTCTATTCTCCAGTCCCAGCTTTCTCAACCTCTCCTCATATGACAGACACTCCCTTTATCATATTTGTGGCTTTTTTCTGGATTTGATCCTGTACGTCCATGTCTTTCTTG